CACTGCGTACGGAGTGAGGAGCGGCTCCGCGGTGGAGACGAGATGCAGTGGGCGGGTCTGCTGGACATGCAGGACCGTGGACGTCAACTGAGCGTGCCGTGCGCCAGATCGCCGGACGAAAAGCCTGAGATACCGATTCCCAAAGTCTAACCAAGCAAGAGCACGGAGCACAACCTCCACAAGAACTCCAACGGTCTCCAAGACGGACGGATTGAACAAGCACCACGAAGAGCCACGAAACGATGCGGATGGGGAGATGGCGAAACGACCTGTCGCTCCACCGCGCGCCCGCGTCCATCTGCACCCGCCACGCGCAGAACGTGCCATATGCGGTAAGTGAGTGGGACGGTGCCTGGGCGCCAGGCGCAAGTTTGCGTCGGTCGCGATGCACACCAGCGCCCGCCACTCGCAGGCCACGGTGAACGTTGCGCGCGTCCGGGCATGTCGTCATCGCGTCGACCGTGTAGACGCGCGTCGATCTTGGCTTGCTCGCTTGCTTCGGTGACGACGAAATACACCTCACTAGGGCTGCTCAATTCTGGCCGGACGTGGTCGCTGGTCACTCCAGAGGATGTGTCTTGGCTTTGATGGACCTAAGCGACAGTAAGCGAGGAGGTGCAGGACGTCGAATTGTCGCGGTCGCCGGCGGTCGCTTGAGTTAGGCACGTCCCAAATGCAGTAATTATTTGAACTCCTCCCCAAACCTCTCCAGCTCATGGAGGCGTTGTGGGCGATAGGGGAGCCAGTTGAGGACGGAAAAAACCAGACGGACGTGGACATCCACACGCACTTTCACGCCTATCTTCAATGCAGTCCAGAGGCCTATACACCCCAATACACAGACGACAGGAAAACCACCCTACGACTCTCCCACTAGGGTCAGGTAGGGTTACACCGGTCGCAGGACTTTTCGGCTATTCTCGCTTCAGTCCATCAGCTCCATCAAACGAGCTCTGCAGTGACCAGCGACCACGTCCGGCCAGAATTGAGCAGCCCTACTCACTCACTCACTCACTCACTCACTCACTCACTCACTCACTCGGCTCTCGCTAGCTCGACTCCCTGCGTTCTCTGCTGCACGCCCTGCTCTCCTGCTGCTCTCCACGACCTTTCCCGCTCGCCTTTGCACCGCGCTCGCCCTGACACCGACACGAGCGCGCGCGTCCGCGCAGTGTATATCCTTCGCTCGCGCTTAGGCTAGAACTACGTGTGAGGGGGGGTGGTGAGGTCCCCCGTGGGAACGTCTGAGCTCGAATTTCTGACAGCTCCAACCAGGTCGTGGTGGCGCGAGTCGACGCCGCGGTTCGAGCAGTTTCGGCATGTAGCCGTCGAGCTCGTTTCTTCTGTAAATGACGACCTCCTTGTGTGCCTCTATGTCGCGTAAATCAGTCATGGAGGCCGTCGCTTATACGCAGAGAGTGTGTACGTGAGCATTACGGGGCCCATATTTGTTTCATAGAGGTTTTCAAGTGATTTCCCTGGTTCCCGAGAGGCAGCGCAGTCCATCGTACAAATGGTCGTATTTATGTATGGGAAGCGACGCATACAGAGAGGTTTTAAGGGTTTCAGACGCGTCCTAGAACGCGAATGCGCGCGACGCGACTGGTAAGTTGTCCTCTGAAGGCTCGCGTGCCGTCGGCACGTTCAAACTCAGACGTTCCCACGGGGGACCTCACCACCCCCCCTCACACGTAGTTCCAGCCTCCCTTCGGGAGGAACGATTGTCTTCCGCCCCGAACGTGAGGCTGGTTTACGAGCCTAGCTCGCGCTGCTCGTTTGAGCTCCCTCGCCGGTGTCCCACCCTCCCTCGCGCGTTTCCCGCCCTCCCTCGCACATGACAGACTGCATATATCCACTCCGCGGCCGTCCCCCGTGCCAAACCACACCCATATCGCCCGGGAGCCTCGCGTGCTCGCCCGCAAAGTGTGTTTGACTTCGACTTTGCCACACTGCGCCCCTCACATCGTCTGCGGGCTACAGCACATCTCCGCAATTTCGACGATTCCCGCGTCCCGTCCCATCGCCACCTCCCGCGATCTGAGCAGCGCGCTCGGTGCGCTCTCTGCGCACACCGGGCACCTGTCCGCGTGCGGAAAAGTGTCCGTGTTCGCTCGCTATGAGCGGAACAATGCGCGCATTCTCACAGAATGCTTCCCCTTCCCTTGCTCGTCAGTCCTCTCGCTTCTGTTTTGTATTCAGGGGACTCACGGAACACGCGTCCAGCAGGCGCACCCGTTCACGCGATATTCCGCGACGAAAAACTCGACTGTGGCACAAGTCTCACCGACCTCTTCCCCAATTCCGTCTCTGTTTCTCACGGGATCCGCCCGCAAACACTGATCCTGACTCTACGCAGCTCCCTCTATCCATACGCGCAGTCGCCAAGTCTGCCGTCGACGAGCCGCCAACGCCATTGAGGATACGGGCCACGCTCGCCCTTCGTCCAATTAGGCGCTCAAGATATGGACGGTTTCGACGCGGCGTCGGGCTGCGTCTCTCGCAGCCGATTTGGCAACATCGTCAAAATCTCTCGAAAACGGTATGTATAGATAGCCCTCGTACTGTACATACGTCCCGTACATGTTACAGCCCGCGGCGTTCGTCCAGACGCCCGCGAAGCGCGCCGGCGCGTTCGCCCTGAGACAGGCGGCTGCGGCGCGTCGACGACCACCACCGTAAGCACTCGAAAGTGCTCGTGGGACCGTTCCTACTCGGGCCTACGCTCAGGCACACGCACGAGTGGTGCTCGAGCGGTCGTCGCGAGTGTTCGGAGCTTGGCGCGGGCAGACTCATCGCGAGGCCCGCCGACACTTGGCCAACGTCCAGAGTCGTCCCCACCCGTCCGATCCACTCGTCGACGCCCGCGTCGCGCACAACATACGCGTCCGCGTGCGAGGTGGCGCCATCGAACGCTGTCGCGGCGGCCACGTCGACGTCAACGCGCGTCCCGGACGCCCTCGCGAGACGAGTCGACCAAGGACACACAAGGTGAGTTCCCAGTCGCTCCGCGAGAGCTTCCTGGCTGACGTCTCACGTCGTACAGGGCAACGTCGTCGTCGCCGGGCGCGCACCCGAACAGCCCTCGAGCCCCAAGACTCGAGCAGGAGCCCACGAGTCAGCGGGCCCGTGAGGCATGCCGGTGTGCGTGCACAACACCAGACGAGGCATCCCCTGCTCTCGCGACGAGGCCGGTGCACACGTCACCGCGCGGCCTCGCAAACGGCGCCGCGGGGAGGAAGCTATGGAGCGCCCGCCGCAGCCCGCAGACAGTCTCGGGGGCACCCACACGCACCCATCCCCGCCCGGCATCGCGCGCTGCTCGGCCCCGACGACGGCGCGCGCAGGCTGGGTCCCCGGGCTGCACCGCACGCTGGACACGTCCCGCGGCGTCCTCCGACGATCTCCGGCAGCACACGGCCGCCTTCGATGGTCGCACGAGGAGCGCGGACGCGAACAAGGGCGGCTGCGGCGCGGCTGCGGCGGCGACGGGATTGCGCGGCGCGCGACGTCGGCGTGCGCGTGCGCGTGCGTGTGGCGCGCCGCGGTCGACTCCTCGTCCGCGGCGGCCTGTGCTATGTACTACAAAAACACGGTGTGTACGGTACAGCCCTCTCGTCTCCGCACCCGCCTCCCTGTGTCCCGTCGACTGGTGGGTCTGGCACAAACGAGATGAGTCAGGCGGGGACAACGGTGTCGCGGCAGCGGGGAACGTACCTTGTGGTGTGCCGTGCGGCTCTTCGTGCGCGACGGGTCTGCGGCTGGAACAGGGAAGAGAGTGACGACGGGGCTGCGCGTGATGATGAAAGAGGTGGGTGGCACGTACGGACGACGAGTCCCTCGCAGCGGCGGCGACGAGACCAATGGCCAACACGTCGGGAGCGCAAGGTGGGTGGGCTGCAAGTGTGTGGAGTTCCGGTGAGGTGTCGCGGCGCGTTGGTCGTGCTGGCGTGCTGGTCGTGTGCGGCGTCACGCCTGCGGTACGGAATGTGAGTGGGACACGGCGGTGAGGGTGCGCGAGCTCACTGGGGGCGGGTGCATCGTGCGGACGCCGTTTTGCGCGATCTGAAGCCTGCGGCGTGAGCATAGACAGGACGGGTAGAAACCACGTACGGGAGCAGACTCGTACTAGGCGACGTTCGAGGTGGTGGTGGCGGTACTGGTGCTGCAACGACGGGCGAGTTTCAGCATGCAGCACGAAGGGAGGCGGCGGACATACCTCGACGGCGGGCAGATGGATGAGGAAGAGGGAGCAGAGGTGAGTGGTGCGCGCACGAATCCTCCTCCCGTGGGTTCTTATTGACGTCTCCCCTCCGATGTGCACCGCTAGCGAGCAAGGGCGCGAGGGCATGGCGCAGGCCCTTGCGCGTCCGCGTCCTCCGTCTGCGCCATACGAGCCTGGAAACGAGCAGATGCGGGCGCCCCGTGCGCAAGCGCACTCCCTGCCCAATCAGCGGACGGCGCAGGGCGTGCCCCACCTCCAGACTCGGCTCGCGTCGACGGGGAGCTTGGACGCTCGGACGGTAGCGCGGCATGACCACGCCGATGGGCTGAGCGGAGCATGTACATACGTCCCATCAATGGGGCGTGTCGCGGAGGCCCGGGACGAGGGACGACGGCAGACCGACCTGCTTACGGAGGTGGTGCTGGCCCACGCCGAGTCCATGCGGGGACGACGATGGGAGGAGGTGAGAGAGGGGAGAGAGGGGCTTACAGGGCAGAGGCACCCTTCAGCGAACCCCGACAGAGGTCTGGGGTTGCAACAGGGGCGTGCCAGGGAACTTGCCTGAAAGAGGCCAAGGAGGAGGCCGGCGACGAAGGCCAAAGCTGTCCCCAATGACTTAAGTATATTGACTTGACCATCTAGTACAAGAGGTGCTTACCTGTCCCCAATGACTTAAGAGGTCGAGATGGGGAACAGGTGCAGGATCTACTCTGCCTATATACTGGAGCAGGTGCGCACAGACCAGGTACCTATTTGTACGTGTTTGGTACCTAGGGTGAGTATGAAGCATGTGACCAACGATCAGGTGACCTGTAGCTAGACTAATACCTATGACGTCC